GCTGAGCCGACAAACAGCTGATCAGCTGTTTGTCAGCTCAGCGCGGCAGCCATGTAAATTTAAATGAAGCGGCGATTATTTAAATCGCAGCTTCATTTTACTATGTCTGGTACCCTAATCTACATGCCTCTGTCGCCTGAGGCATGTAGTCTAGACTTACCCAAAGTGAGGCTTAGGGTGAAACACCGGTAGGAAAACGTCTTGTGACATATGAAAATGGGAAACCACTTTTGGGAGAAATGAAGGATGAGATTTCCACTGAATCGTATCTTTAAATAAAACTGTATAAGGGGGTTCCAACATTAACACTTTTAGTTCAGAAACTCATCTGGCTGAAGTAATGGGCACCAAAAATACAACTTTAATTGACAAATACAATAAAGAACAAGTAGTTAATGGCTTGAAAGGTGAAGCTATTAGTTTTGACAATAGCAGGTTTAGATCCCACTGGGGCACTGGGTCCCTCATGTGAGTATACAGACTGTCCAATCTTTTAAGGAACTGGTTCACCAAGCAGTCCACAAATGCTGAAATATCCCCTCCTCCCCTGACCCAGGGTAGACCGCTGAAATTGCGGCATATGTACCCTACTGGAGGAAGTGGCCAGCCATCGTTATTTCAAACCCACAAGGTACTCTAGAGTAAGGAGAACTGAAGCCTGCAATGACTGGGTACCCCGCCGTATGGCCCACAAAGCAAAACTTTTCCACCTGGAAGCATATGTGGCCTGCGTAGGTTTCCTACTAACAACACTGCCCTCACTCCCTCTGAGCACTGCTGTTCCAATGTGCTCAATCATGGAGCCTCCAGGCCATCAGGTGTAAAGCCTAGAGGTTGGGGTGCAGCAATGTGCCGTGGTTCTGGGACAGCAAGTCTGGGAGCAAATAGAGGGGGACCAGCGGCCCTACCGACAGCTGATGGAGCCTCGTACACCAATGTTGCTTGGGCCAGGCTGATGCTATCAAAATGAGGTCCACACTGCCCTTGTGAACTTTGGTCAGCACCCTGTGAATTAAGGGGAAGGGGAGGAAACACGTACAGAAGACCCTTCCTCCAGTAGATTTAGAAGGTGTTGTCTAGGGAGCCCTTTCTCCTGCCCAAGTAAGACCAGAAGGCTCGGCATTTCCTGTTTTCACTCATAGTGAAGAGATCCAAATGGAGACAACCCCACTTCTGGAAAAGCCACTGCACAACCTTCCACCTAAGGGACCACGAGTGAGTTTGGAATGAGCAGCTGAGGTTGTCTGCCAGTGAGTTCTGAGACCCCGGCAGGTAAGAGGCCAACAAGTGCATCTTGTTGCGCATGCTCAACTCCCACAGGGACATCGCTTCCTTGCACAGGGAAATAAAATGAGCACCACCCTGTCTGTTGATATATAACACTGCTGTAGTGTTGTCCATGTGAACTGAGACACGCTTTCCCCGATTTTGCCAAAAAGGCTACAGAGGCCAACCTCACTGCCCTGAGCACCTTTACATTGATGTGCACTGCACATTCTGCCTGCAACCAGATGCCCTAAGTCCAGAGACCGCCCAAATGAGCACCCCATCCCAAAGTTGGAGGAGTCGATTACTAAAGTCAGGGTGGGCCATGGGGAGTAAAATGGAACCCCCGGTACATGTTCAGAACATCCAGACATCACTGAAGGACATCTATCACTGACAGCCGGATGGTTAGCATCCTGTCAAGATAGTGCTGAGATGGCTCATACACGCTGGACAGAGATGAAGCCTCATAAAGGGGACAACGTGGGTGCAAAAAACCACGTGTCCCAACACTCATAGGCAAATCCTGACTGTCGTAACAGGATGGGCCCCCAGGCCCCAAATCAGTCTGCACGTACTCTCAAAATGGGGCTGGAGGAGGAATGCCCTGGCTGCCAGAGAGTCCAAATGTGTCCCTGCGAACTCTGTGATCTGCGTGGGCAACAGAGTCAACTTCTGAAGGTTTAGTAAGAGGTCTAAACCAGCTGAACATGGTTGTGGTGAGTTCCACGTGAGCTCGGACCACCAATTTGTAGGGCCCCTTGATCAGTCAGTCATCCAGGTAAGGGAAGACTTGAGCTCCTCTGTGCCATGCACTTTGTGAAGACCCTTGTTATGGCAGACAGGCTGAAAGGTAACACCTTGAACTGACAGTGGGAACCACCCACTGTAAAACAAAGGAACCTTCTGTGAGCCAGAACTATGGCCACATGAAAATACACATATTTCAGATTGAGGGCAGTCTCCCGGATTCAGTGAAGGGATAACTGAGGCCAGAGATACCATACGGAATTTTAACTTTTTCAGGTATTTATTCAGACCGCATAGTAGGTCTAATATGGGACATAACCTGCTCTTGGCCTTACAGATAAGGAAATCATGGGAATAAACCCCAGTGCCCCTGAATGGTAGAGGGACTTCCTCTACTGACCCTATATTGAGAAGCATCTGCAACTCCTATTGCAGGAGTTGCTCATGAGAGGTGTCCCTGAAAAGGGACAGTGCAGGGAAATGGGAAGATGAGGTACCCACAAGCTGGATAGAATATCCCATCTTCACCATGCCTAGAACCCACTTGTCCAATGTGATTCGGGCCCAGGTACGTTAAAAATGGGACAAGCAGTCCCCAAACATAGGAACAAGATCTAAGAAGGAGAAAGGTATAGTGCCCTTGGGTGCACCTTCAAAAGTTCTTCCTAGGCCCTGGAGACTGCCTGGAAGACTAGGCCTGGTTATTGGTACTCCCACTGCCACTTCTATTAACACATGGGGGGGGAGGGGAGCTATTCTGCTCCTGTCTCTGATGGGGAGGATAATATCTAGGAGCAGAGTTGGCTTGAAATGTCTTCACTGTGTTGTAGGTGTGTAAAAGCCCAAGGACTTTAATGTAGCCCTTTTGTCCTTCAAAATGTGCAGCCTAGAATCCATTTCTTCTGCAAACAAGCTGGAACCTTCAAAAGGAACGTCCTGTATCATATTCTGAACCTCTGTAGGAATTCTGGACACGTGAAGCCAAGAATTCCGTCTCATAACTATGCCCGTAGATGTAGACTGGACTGCAGAGTCCGCAGCATCAAGAGCTGCCTGAAGGGACGTTAGGGATATTACTCTCCCTTCCTCTAGGAAGGACACAAACGCGGATCTAGAGTCCGACGGGAGGAGTTCTTTAAATTTTGCCCATGGTCACCCATATATTATAATTGTAGGCTACCCAGGAAGTAAACTTTCCTCTTCAACAGGTCTAGCCTCTTCGAATCCTTGGTCTTGGGAGTGGGGCCCTGGTTTACCTTGGTATTCCTTAGCATTAGCCACATCTTCCACCAGGGTGCCAGGTTGTGGGTGTGTATACAAGTACTGATGCTCAACCCCTTCAGCAGTCAAAGGGATAGAAACTGGGGTCTGCCAGAGGGTTTTCATGGTGGAGAAGATAGTCTTCATAAAAGGGAGTAATCCTGGTTGACTACCCCAGAGACAAAATGTCTTCCAAAGGATCCAAATGCTCCACCATCTCCTTGATTTGCAGACCCATACTCTGTATCATGTGCCTCTTGATGCATCCTATTGTCCATAGGGGGTAGCGATGTTGCTGCCTCCACTTCCACCTCATCCAGAGATGATGAAGATGAGGGTCTTGCAGCACCCCTTCTTTCTGTCTCATATCCAGTACTGGGACTGGTATAGAGGGCACATGCTCTTGGTCATTGGCATTGCAGTGCTATGACGTGGGCAGTACTGGATGCGGCAACACTCCTGGAACCTGGTGCCATTGGTCCTCACCGGAATGGGAAGCCTGTCCTGACTGTGGGCTTGGTACTGAACGGGACTCCACCGGTGTCCTGAAAGGCTGGGTAGCAGGTATCTAAGACCCTGATGTGGTTTGCTGGGACAACTGCAACACTACAGCGTGCTCTCTGCCTAGGACCACTGAGGGAGTGCCCCTGCTGACAGAAACCACTGAAATGGACCTGGGAAATCCCGCTTGCATCTGGTGGTACACCCAAGGAGTCCAGAAAGGCCACTGAGGTGGGACCTACTACTGAGGAGGCCAGTATTAGGCCAGTTCTGGCCTCTTCTCTGGTTGTCTCTGTGCTGAATAGCACTGCCTCTTGGACCCATGGCCATGCAGTTCTGACTCTGACGTGGATGTGAAACATGGAGAGGTACCACGCTGCAATGGCAGCCTCTGTGCAGGTGTGATGTCACCATGAAGATTCCACCTTGATGAATAGGAGCCCTCCCAGAAGCAGTGCCAAAGCGAACAGTGTTGCCCAGGAAGATTCTGCCTTGAACAGGAGCTCACACTGGAGTGGTGCAGAGATTGTTGTTCCCAGCTCTATGACACTTGCTGTGTCAAGGTGATCAATTTTGGCTCTTTTGGGTCAAAATTCACTTAAGACTTGGAGCTGGGAGAATGAAATCTTGTTATCCATATTGTATGATTAAAAGTTAAAAGACCTGAACTTAATATGACCTGACTTAGGGTCTACCATAACTTGAACACTAAGCAGAGGATAGTGAGTTACATCTAACTGAAAGTCACAGAAGATGGAAACAGGTTTTATTTCTGGTGGTGTAGAGTCTATTTGGGACTCAATTGTATCTGACACTTTACATCCAGTGTTTAAAGGAAGAGGTGACTAGAATCAATTGAGTCCTTGTCTTGTCTCAGTGATCACTTGAGAAAAAATCATTGATAAAATCTTGTGTAGACTGACCTTGGACCCAACATGCAGGCAATGTGTTGAAGGGCAGCGCAAAGGAGGCAATGGTGGTGAGGTACCATATTACCTAGTGAAATCAGTGGCGCTGAAATCACTAAGGACTGGAATTTGACCACAGAACTGATACTTTCATAACAAAGACTCCATTTTTACTATTTAAAAAGTAAACCAATGTAACAGAAAACTGCAATGCTCTCTGGTAACTTTTTAAAAATCAAACTTTAAACTTTATTGAAAAGATTGGATAGTTTGCAATTGAAAATATTTGACCTGCACTTAAGGCAACTGATTTAACTTTGTGTAAAATTTTACATAATAAAGGATGGCATTTTTTTGGAAAATGTTCAACTATATTGATATAATTTTGATCAGAGCTACTTCTGACGTGGTATTTGCGTGTGGTTGTGGTTTATTGTGTAGGTCCTTTTTTATTTCTTCTCAACAAAAAATCCAGAGGGGTGAAGGAGGCTGCCAAAACTGTTTGAATTGGGCCTCACACTTCCTAAAGCCGGCCCTGCTTGGAATGTACATGAGCAATCACTCAAAGAAGAACTGAAGTATTTGAGCTCCTCCCCCCTCTCATCTTCTGTCCACATCACCAGTGAATAAAATTAGACATACCCATTCTACAACTCCCCCTCAATCCAAGATTTATCTGGGCAACAAACACCTCTCCTACAGTCTGAACTTGGATTCCAATTCATTATTATTATTATTCATTTTACTGTAGTGCCTAGTCTTATTTATAAACCAAGATCCCATTGACCTAGCCACTATTGAAACATCTCAGTCTGACCTTGCCCCTGGCTTCTTGTAAGTCTCCGGGCTTGATTCACTTTCCTCTTTGAACTAAGCATCTATTCTTAGCTCCCTTTTGACATCACTTGCGCTTGCTGTTCTTGGCAAGCATCCAGGATAGTCAAGAGAGCAGTCTTATCTCCCCATCGGGCTTGCTCTCTCAGCTGGCGGTAGTTATGGGGCTCACGGCCTCCCAAGTGACATTGGATATTATAGGAACTATCTCTATACCCCAAGTGATGTTTTGGTTGGGGATGGGGTATTCTAGAATGGTCCCTGGAAGGGTGTGCCCAGAAGAGTATAGGAGAAAGAGAGAAAATATACTCCAATATTCTCTTTCAAAATATATCTATTTTCAGGAATTAACAGTTTCTATGATAATTACTTTGCTAATTCAGAATAAACCATAATTGTTGTGATTCTGAAATTAAAAAAAGAACATATATTGTCTTTTAAAGGCTATTCAAGTCCAAAACTTGTTCCACTTGTCAAGTTCATCACGTGACGAGTGGAACAAGTGGAACAATGGCCAACCAGATCACAAAACGAGTGACTAATACAACTCAATACTGTTTAACAGATCAACTGAAATCAGCTTGAAATGGATACGAGTATGGCAGACCCTGCCTAATAACCAATGAGGTGGCAAACCCCATAATATGCTTATTATTTTAAGTCCATAAAGCAATATGCTGTATCAGTAGTTCTCCAGTTTTCCAAATAACTGAACCCCTATTTAGGAGTCTGATTTGTCTTGCCTACCTTCAAGTTTCACTTCACTTAAAAACTACTTGCTTGCAAAATCAGACATAAAAGTACATAAGTGTCACAGTATGCTGTTACTGAAATATTGCTTACTTTCTTGTTTTTACCAGATAATTATAAAATAAATCAATTGGATTATAAATCTTGTACTACATTTCAGTGTGAAGGATATACACTAGTATAAACAAGTCATTGTCTGTTTGAAATTTGAATTTGTACTGACTCTGCTAATGCTTTTTACAGAGCCTGTGGTAAAGCTAGGCAAATGTCTAGATGACTTATACCCCATGAGTTACATTTACCCTGGTTGTGAACCACTGTGCTATATTATACATAAGTGGGACAGCCCAGCCTGGATACTGACTAACCTAATTAGATTCTTGGTTTTGCATATATAAGCAGTGCACATAAACTGACAACAGCCTCTACTTTTCTCTCTACCTTTGTCTCCATTTATCTCAAAGTACATTAAAAGTAGAACTTACGAGCAGGTATAAACTTTCCTAATGCCTTTGTGTTTGATACGATTGTGGCGACATAGACTATGGGATGAACTGAAAGATTTGTCACATTGTCGACAAGGATGTTTCTTCATTTGCTTTAAAGAAGGGAAAATGAATAAAATATTAACTAGCAAGATAATCAAAAGCAGTAAGTAGATATCTTTCAAAAATAACAGAGTAAGGTTACTTACCAAAATCTTTTATTCTTTGAGGATATTGCCTCTCTAAGATAATAATGTAGGAGTCACTGGTCCCAGTTTCTAAACTCCGTGAATATTAAGAGGCATGCACACACTGAGCAGTATTGAAAATATTAACTAAAAAAAGAGGTGCCCTTGCTCCCTTTTCAATTCTTCTCTGCCACCAAAGACAGAGGGGAAAAAAGGAGGATCAGCTTGAATTTACATATTTTTAGAGAATTCCAGTTAATAACCCTTTCACCACTGCGAAATTGCCTCTGCAGATTTTCACTCTGATAGATTAGCAAGTAGCACACAACTACAGGAGGAAGGATGAGGGGCATCTAATTGAAAATAGACTGAAGCACTGGTCTCTCAAATTTGATTGGTGATGATTTCATCGCACAACAATGACCCACAGAAAAGATCCTTAAATAGGGATATGGAAAGAGGGGGTATAGCATGGCATTACACTGTAGGACATAAGACTTCTTCATAATTTTGAAGATCTAATGGTTTTATATTACAGACTACCATGTAGAAGGAAGTGGGATAAACAAAACTGACAATGAAGGAAAGAAGCAGAACAATCTATGTCAGTTCATTCTGAGCTCTCAGGAGATTTTTTTCAGATTTTACTTGCTTGAAATAGATATAACTCTTGAGAGTCTATATGTACAGATCATGGATCTATCTGTAAAAGAGATGAACTGCCTAGGTGACATTTCTAAATTGTTTGGTCCTATCTAAATTAGGGCTGTAGATTAATTGCAGTTAACTCACATGATTAACTCAAAAATTAATTGTAGTTAATCAGACGGTTACATAATAGAATGCTAATTGAAATTAACAACTATTTTGGGATATTTTTCTATATTTTCAAATATATTGATTTCTATTACCACACAGAATATAAAGCAATACAGTGCTCATTTTATTATTTTTGGTTACAAATATCTGCACTATAAAAATATTAAACAAAAGAAATAGTACTTTTCAATTCACCACTTACAAGAACTGGAATGCAATCTCTATCGTGAAAAGTGCAATTTACAAATGCAATGTTTTTCTTGTTGTTACATAACTGCTCTAAAAAACAATGTAAAACTTTAGAGCCTACAAGTCCACTTAGTCCTACTTCTTGTTCAGCCATTCGCTAAGACAAATAAGTTTGTTTACATTTATAGGAAATAAGCTGCCAACTTCTTATTTACAATGTTACCTCAAAATGAGAATTGGTGTTTGCATAGCACTTTTATAGCCAGCATTGCAAAGTATTTACGTGCCAGATATGCTAAACATTCGTATGTCCAGGGCTTGCCAAGCGGTGATGAGCCCCGCTCGCCAGCCGCGCGGTTCGGCATGCTATGCATGTGCTAACTGCGCTGTGCCAGCTTGTAATCTACTTACCACAGGCGAGTAGATTACACTAATTGTCGAGCCCTGCATATGTCCATGCCCATTTAAAAATATTAATTACATTTGTGACTGAGCCCCTTGGGTGAGAACGGTATGTCTCCTGCTCTGTTTTACTCACATTCTGCCATATATTTCATGTTATATCAGTCTTGGATATGACTCAGCACATGTTCAAGACCACATTCACAGCTCACAGACCTAAAGTTTAAGAATATGAAGTGCTGTCCAAACTATGTGAGGGATGAGGGGTGGAACATGGTTTCTTCCACCAGTCTTAAAAGAGCAACACTCCAATGCAAAAACTATAGAACTCAAACCACCAAAAAAGAAAATCAACTTTTTGCTATTGGAATCGGAATCAGATAATGAAAATGAACATGCATTAATCTACTCTACTTTAATCATTCTCAAGCCAAACCCATCATCAGCATGGACGCATACCCCCTGGAACGGTGGCTGAAGCGAGAAGGGACATGTAAATCTTAAGCACAGTTAGCTGGTAAATATTTTGTGACACCAGCTACAACAGTGCATGCAAACACCTGTTCTCACTTGCAGATGACATTGTAAACAACAAGACAGCATTATCTCCCGCAATTGTAACCAAACTTGTTTGAGCAATTGGCTATACAAGAAGTAGAGTATTGAGCATTGTATACTATGTTGAAATTGAAATGAATATATTTGAAAATGTAGAAAACACCCAAAATGTTTAAATAAATGGTATTCTATTATTGTTTCACAGAACAATTAATTGCTCGACTAATTATTTTAATTGTACAATTAATTGTGATTACTATTTTAATCTCTCGACAGCCTTATTCTAAATATAAAGCCAATCTTTCTAACATCCAAGGCATGACAACAGGTATCCTGCAAAGAACTATGCAGAAAAAACACTGGTAGATGAACAGGTTGGTTAATATGAAACTCCAACAGTACCTTAGGTAAAAATTTAGGGTGTGGACATAAATATATTTTATTGTTTGAACACCATAAACTGATGTTCTACCACCAAGGCTTCAATCTCTCTGATTCTACAGGCTGACATTATGGCTATCTAAAAGGTTTCTTTCACAGATAAATGGAGCAGAGAACAGGTTGCCATTGGTTCGAATGAACATCTCATAAGCTAACTGAAATCCTGGTTGAAGTCTGAGGGTGGGCTGGCAGGAAAGGCTTGGTATTTACCAGAGGTGGTTTTTAATCAGATAAATCATGTTTTTTACCATGCCTAGAAAAACTAGTTAGTCACAGTATGCAAGATTTTCTATTTAAAAAAAGTCTTCATTTACACTTAATACTAGTTACATATTCATAATGTGATTTCATAAAGTAGTGGCTTCAGAGATTAATTTAGGGTTATAGAAAGCAGGAACCTTGGTCTCTCTGCTACAGACAGACAGGTCCTAACTCCATCTGACCTTAAGTAAGGGAATGGTACTGACACAGTACTGAGGATGCTGTAGCCAAGGCATATGGTATTATCAATAGAGAAGGGGAGGCTAACAACCAATGTTCCCTCTAATCTTTTCCATACATGTGTGGAATACAATGTTTATGTGCACCGAGGCATGTGCAAATGTGCATCAATAGAACAGAAACAACAAACAAAAAACCTAGTTTTGGGTGCTCTGCTAATCAGCTAGACGACATTTGAATCTCTACTAAGTGGCCACACAAGCACACAGCTTAAGGGGAAAACTGCTAACAACACAGATGTCTGTGGTGTGTGGCGCCATTGTCTGCTTGTTTCTGAGGGTGCTAAATGGGTAGGTACTTGTAAAGGGCTAAGCCCAATTATGTCACATTTGATGCTTATGCATGTGCTCATTGAGCAGTGGCCCTGTCTGAACCATATCTCTCCTTCAAGCTCTGTGACCTTCCAAATCCACCAGTACTAAGCTGAGAGGTTGAGACTTCAGAGACTATACATCTCGGAGGGCATCTGGGCTGTTTTGGAACTGACTTTTTAAGATGAAAGTCTACATGCCTCTTTTTAGAAACCTTAGCAGAAGCTTCCAAAATCTTCCCTTTTTTTAAGGGGAAGTGTTTGCCAAGGCTGAAGCAGTGTTGGATCTGTTCAGGGACAGGTCTACTGGAGGTTCATCTAATCAGACTCAAAAACTGTCAAAGGGAGCATTCCATCATCAACAGTCTGAGTTTAATCTCCCTTTCTTTCACAGAATCATAGGGTTGGAAGAGACCTTAAACTGGATTTGAGAGCCAGGCAGAAGTTGCACTTCTGGGAAATATGGGACTCACCCAAGCAATGGACACACGTACAATCACTATTAATAACAAGTAGAGACTTTTGGCAGGAGGAGGAGCATTTAAAACTTGGTGAGCCAGGTATGCCCTTCCTGGAAAATAAGGTTCCCCAAGGGAAGGGAGAGGAACAAAACAATCCTCTCATTACTATCTCTAACTAACTAAAACTATCACTAATAACTAACCAAAACTAACTAAACAACAACCAGAAGAAAAAAACTGTATTCATGATGAATACAACATGTAACAGAGATCTGTAATTTACAACAATCACACTAATCTGCTCCCCCTCCCTCTGCAAAAAAAAGTAATTGTTTCCTCTACAACCAAACTGTTAAAGAAGTGGGAAGGGAATGGAAAAAGAATCAGAAATCAGTTTAGCTAATAAAAATTTTATAACTTTTTCAATCATTCCCTCTGTGTTGGAACAACCATTGGTATTGACTAAATAATCCTACAAGTAACTGAGGGCTATGAGAGACTTTCAGTAGAAATTTAAAAAGCTAATCAACATAAAAGGAAAAAGGAAATCAATATGAGAAGAGGAAAGAAAAAACAGAGCACAAAATTGAAATAATCAGTAACAGCATTACTCTTTATAAAGCAATATTAAACTGTTTAAAAACAACTGTTTCTACTTTAGCATTCATTCGTTTAATTTTGAAGTTTCAATAATTTACCTTTCCATGCTCTTTCCTCATGTGGGATATGTACACATCTCTCTGAGTGAAGAGTCGATCACATTCCCAACACGTCCAGCCAGGATTGGTTACTTTTTTGGGTTCTGCTTTCTTTGCGGGAGAGGGAGATTTCTTCTCCAGCTTTTCTGTTCCATTGATGGATTTTGTGTCCTCTTTGTTATGACTGGCTGAGTTTTGAGTTGCAGGTTTAATGCTCAGGGGCAAATTTATACCCAAATTTGGGGGGCCTTCAACACTTTTCAATGTTCCATGCATAGACTAAAATATAAAAAATAAAAATATTACAAAACAGTTGAAGCAAAAACAAGGTTGTAAAGCAAACAAGCAACATGAAAAATGCATAGACAAGTGAGAGGTTTAATCTGCTCTTGAGAGGGGATCAGGTAGAAGCTTTCAAAAAAGGCCTTCTTTATCCTGATTAATTTGAATTTTCATTTTACTTGCACAATAAAGTAGGTCAATCTTCCCTAATGTGAATCATCTGATATAATAGTTTAGCTTATGGTTTCCTGTAAACACGTTCGCTTTGACAGAGTTTGGCTAGTAATATGAGGAAAGAGATACAAGTAAAGATATCTTCTGAAAGATCAGATAATTCAATTAATAATCCCTTTCAACTAAGAATTTGCCAATCAGGAGATCAGCTTCACATATGAAAATCTTGCCTTCCAAATGTTAATACTCCCATGATCTCTTATGGTGTACATTACTTTTGCCTTTCTGGTTTGTGTGTTCAGCCATTCCACATATAATCACTCAATCTTAAATCTGGGCTGAGCAAATAGTCAGAAGCCAAAACCATTCAATGTATTGTTGAACCAGAGGAAAGTGATACTCAGATATAATTCTAATACTTTAACAAAGCCAAACTATCTCATATCAGGCTTTTCTTTGCAGGCTAATCATATGATTCCCATGGATTATTTGCCAGGTACTTTGCAAATGTCATACTCAGCTGTGCAGTGGGACAGAACTTTCTGTTTCAAAACCAAAACTGTGACTAAAAAAAGATAAGGTGCTTTCTCTTTACCAATCTGACACCCAAAAAGAATGGTTAACTTCTTTTAGTGCATCTAAATAAAATACTTGTTATGATAATGAAAACTATTCCCACTGTCAGTTGACAAAAATTCTGTGAAAAATAAAAGAGAGACTTAATTTCTGCAGTGTGGAGAAAAGGTATAAAAGACTCATTTTGAATTATTCTTCATATTTTCAATTTAAGATTAGGATGGCAGAGTCAAATGTGTCATTCTTTACATATCATATTATATACCAAAAAACTACTTTAAAGTTTCAAAGTTAAGCACTCAAAAGGATATGTAGGCAACCTTAATTCAGTCTTTTTATTAGTAGGAGCAGGAGGCCAATTGGGCAATGCCCCACCAGTGGGAACACTCCACAGGTGTACACCAGGGCACTGGTGAATTGCACTCTGACTCTCGCTCTTGGGACCTTCGGACAAGGACCATAGTGGGGTCCTGCATGCCTACTTCCCCAAGTCTAAAGTGCGTACACTCTGCACTGTTGAGAACTGGCAGGATGTTCCCCTGGACAAAGAACAGTGCCGCAGAGATGGGAACCTGTGCGTAGGTCCCCAAATGGGTTTTCACTTTAGACCAGGGAACCGCTGACATGGTGGAACTGGACACCGCATGATGGGCAGCTACAATCCTTGGCCGGGACCAAGCGCCGTGGGGAGCCCGGCTGCTGCAGAGCTCAGCAGGGGTGGCATCTGGGCTCCACATGTGCTTGGCCCCAGCTGAGCACCGCAGTAGCTGGGCTCCACGCAACGCTTGGCCCCAGCTGAGCGCTGCAGTAGCTAGACCTCTACTGAGTGCTGCAGCAGCTGGGCTCCACGTGGCTTTTGGCCCTGCCGAGCACTGAAGATGCATTCAGCAGGGGTCCAGCTACCGCAGTGCTCAGCTGGGGCAAAGTGCCATGTGGAGCCCGGATGCCGCAGTGCTCAGCAGGGGCCCAGCATGTTGCAAGGAAGCGCTCTGCGCTCAGCTGGAAGATAGCGGCAGGACTAGGTGAGGGGGGCAAGACAGGCACAGGGGACTTTGGGGGTGGAAGGCACTCAGAGGTGGGGGGGCTGACACTGAGTTAGGGGGGCAGGGCTGGCACTGGGGACAGTGCTAATATTGGGGATTGGGGACTGGCATGGGGGGAGGAGGAACCTGGAGGAACTGGGTGCAATGGGGCTCTGGGAACAGGAGGCTGCAACTGAGGAACTCTGAGGATGAGAGGCTGGCACTGGGGGGGCTGGGTGCAGGGGTCTCTGGAGGCAGTGGCTGACACTAGGGGGTAGTGGAGGATGAGGGGCTCTAGGAGTCAGGGATGGGAGTGGGGCTTTTTATTCCGGGGACCAGCAAACCCATTCATAAAGTTTTGGCGCACTGGCAAATATTCAAATGTTACTGGTCTGCCAACAGTTTGAGAATGGGTTTGCCAGTCCCCCATATAAAAAGGTTGGGAACCACTGCTGTAATGGGCTGAGCACCATCAATTCCCAACTGACGTCAATGAAAGCTGATAACTTGCTTACACTATAGGAGATGCCAATCACTTAGCAGAATGGGGCCCATAAATCTCACTGTGATCAGTACTATTTTTGTAATATTATATTTTACGTGCAATACACACAGTCACTGGTAATATATAAAATAAGAACATTCACACATAAATCTAGTTAGTGACTAGAATATACAGATTCTATATTTAAAGTGCTTAAGGAGTACTTAGCTGTGAATATCTCTAAGAATGACCACTATCTAGTTTTTTCAGTAGTCTCCTTGTAATTTTGTGCTTTTCCATGATGATTTCATGTAAGGCTTTAAACATGACAAATGCTGTATAAAAATTCAAATAAAAGGAGATGCCCACACACCTTGATATGATCCATCATAAGTTGCTTCTGTGCATATAAAAGAGAACAGTCTGGACACTTGAAAACAGACACCTTCTGGTTTTCAATGTGTTGATCAAAGTGACGATACAGCAAGGGTTGCAGGGTAAACACAGTGTCACACATGGAACATTTATATATTATTCTAAAAACAGAAAAAGTTCAGTAAATAGAAGTCAGTCGTCCTGATCAGATATCAACAGGAATTACTGTGTTAGTTTTCTCCTCATCACGTGTGAAACCAAGTGTATGTTATACATGAACATATTAGTTGGTTGTGGAAAATCGAAAATGATAAACTAATTCAAGAATATTCCTCAGAATGAATGTAAAGCAGCACTCAAACAACACAGTGTTATAATCGAAACTCAGTGCCCCATGTGACTGATGGAAAAACACGGAGCAATGGTCTTAAGTTATAGTGGGGGAGGTCTAGGTTGGATATTAGGAAAAAATATTTCACCAGGAGGGTGGTGAAGCACTGGAATGGGTTACCTAGGGAGGTTGTGGTATCTCCATCCCTAGAGGTGTTTAAGTCTCAGCTTGATAAAGCCCTGGCTGGGTTGATTTAGTTGGGATTGGTCCTGCCTTGGGCAGGGGGCTGGACTTGATGACCTCCTGAGATCTCTTCCAGCTCTATGATTCTATGATTCACACCCATGTAACTATTATGCAGAAAACCAGCAAATGCTTCTGACAAGATTTCCCCAACATACATATCTTTATATCTTTAATTCACATGTATAATAAAAGGGCTGTTGATCTATCTGACTTTGGAATTCAAAGGCACTAACTTGAAGGGGTTACTGATTTGATCAAAAGTGTTAACATGCTTAAAGCAGAGTTCACTTTTGGTTTAGCAGTGTCTTCTCAATTTCTTAAATTATTTGCCCAATATCTCCAATCTCTTTGTAGCTAATATTTTCCTAGAAGACAACCTCTCTATTTGGAAATTTATAATTTTTGAACTGTTACCTATCTATTTCAAAGCATTGTACAGAAATGACCAAAGCACAGCTTCTACAGGCCTGCTGGAAATAGCAAAAGCCAATTGTGTAATGTTGATAGTACATGGATCAACTTCCTTTCTATATTACAGCATTCTAATCAATATGTTAACTACCAACAGAAGCATGTTATAATGAGTTAGCTGACAATTAAGTCATAAATAAATTCATCCACACTGGTGAAGAATCTAATTTGGTAATTAACAAGGACCAAACCAGGCTGAAATAGTAAGGGACATTGTTATAGTTGTTTCTGAAGGCAAGTTAAAATGACAGCATAAAAATGCTTCCTAAACTTAAGGAAAAGTTATAAAATAATCTTGAAATGGATATAATTTCAGCGGAATTCTGTCAACCCATCAATAAGTAATAAAGCAGAATTAAAACTGGGACGTGCTAAAGAAATTGAGAGAACAAATAAGTTCACTGAGAGGGTCTAAGTCAGGGATAGGCAAAAGCCTCTAAGCAGGCTAGATCTGGCCTGTGCCGCAATTCCAGGCCCCGCCCCCTAGCGCATTGCCTGTGAGCCAGGGATGCGCGATCCCTTTTAACAGCTTTTATTTAAAGGGCTTGTGCCTTCCCTGAGCCTGTTGGGCAATGTGTTGCCTGGCAGCCATGGGGAAGGCGCGAACCCTTTAAATAGCAGCAGTTGAAAGGGCTTGCGTGTCCTGGCTCCCTGGCAACGCACTAGCGGCACCAGAGCTGTGAGCCTTTTAAATAGAAGCAGTTTAAAGGGCTCATCTTCCAGCCCCGCTGCTAGCGCGTTGCCTGAGAGCCGGGACATGCAAGCCTTTTCAACTGCTTCTATTTAAAAAGCTCATGGCTGCGTTGCCTGGCAGTCATGTGGCAGGCACAAGCTCTTTAAACAGAAGTAGTTGAAAGGGCACTAGCGTCCCCGGCTCCCAGGCAACGCATTAGCAGCGAGGCTGGGAGCAGTGAGCCCTTTAAATAGCAGGAATTGAAAGGGCTTGCAGCACTCAACCCCCACTAACATGATGCCTGGGAGTCGCAGAGGAGGTGTGAGACCTTTCAACTCCTGCTATTTAAAGGCCCACCCCTTCCACCTGAGGTCCTGCCCCTTCGCCCGAGGTCCCACCCCTTCCAGGGCGCCCCACGACCACATCACAAAGTTTTGAAGTGGCCCGTGTTCAAAAACTATTGCCCACCCATGGTCAAAGTAGAGCTAATATCACATAATAATGGTTTGAGATTATGGCATTTTGCCAATGATTCTGCAAACAAAATGAAATAAGTTATGCACTATTTTTTCCTCATGTTTTTGTGTTTGTTTTGACTATTTGTACGTTTGACTCTATATATTATTTTAACTTTTAAATTAAAAAGCACTGTCAAAATTGGTAGGTCCAAAATTTATCCTCTTTTTTTATATACCGTATTTTCCGGCGTATAGGGCGACTGGGCGTACAGGACGACCCCCTATCTTTTTAATTAAAAGATAGGGTTTCATCTTATACCCCAGCGCCCCTCCGCCTCCTTTGCTCCCGGTGTCCCTGGTCTGCTGGAGATGGTCCCCAGCAGACCAGAGGCACCGGGAGCAATGCACCAAACTGCAGCACCTCTGGTACTTTCAACATTAAGGTCTGTACAGTGAACAGTGGTCTGATTGCATCCTTGCCATCATAAACTTCTGGTCCTAGAAAAAAAATGTTACTTCTCTGTTCAGGCAAAATCTCACAAATAGTTTAACAGGTAACATTACAGACTGGGAGCGAAATGAATTGTTCATGTTGGCTGAAGTGCCTTGTTATGACAGTATCTCCAGCAGGGCCCAAGCCTGAAAAACATTCAGACATAACACAAGATCCTGGTCCACATTTTTTAGAAAGCTTCCCCTCAAGAGTAAGTCAGAAAAATGGGAAAATAATACAGGGAGATTGCACATGCGCGCCTGGGACCCCCCGCCGCCGGCTTCCCCCAAGGCTTTCAAAGCCGCGGAGGGGCTCCGGCGGCGGGGCATCCGGCGTACAAGACGACCCCCGATTTTTGGGGGATGTTTTTTAACATCAGAGGTCGTCTTGTACGCCGGAATATACGGTATCTATTTATAAAGCCCATGTAATTCACTTTTATTTCTTCAGAACTGTTATAATTTTTTACAAAAAGAAAAGAAAGTGGCATATGAAAAGGAAAAATCCATATAAGCATAGAAATTGCCATACTTTATCAGACCAGTGATTTAACTAATCTTGTATCCACTGACAATGGTAGTAGTAGCCACTTTACAGAAAAGATAAGTATCAAAATTTCCCTAACAGTTTTCATCGTCAATGATTCTAAATTTTACTTTTAAATGTTAAACATAATTTTCCAATGTTAATAAATATTTAGTTGAATCTTACTGGTGCTGGCCAGGTACCCAGTCAGAACACCTGAGCTGAATATTGGAGAGAGATGCAGAGGAAAGAAATATTTCCCTTGACACATGGCTATTTTGGACATGTTACCTGCACATTATTTATGCCCTATGGATGCAGTAGCCCTGAACACATCATAGGGGAAGGAAAACCCAAAGATTCACATGGCAATGTGTTCACCTTCCACTGTTTGGCACTGTGTAACTTTTATAGGGGGGTCTATGCTCTCAGATGTAGTCCCACTCTGAGCTCAACAGAAATACAACAGAGAAAGGCAGTTTAAAATGGTAGTATTTCATTCACAGCATTCCTCATTTTAATCCAAGACAATACAGAGCTACTTACTAGCAAGAGTACTTGAATTTTTCATTTATTCATATATTTTGTAAAGATGATGTATATTTTCCATCAGTAAGCACAGGTAGCATGTATCCAATATCTATATTTTGTGATGTGACTTATCTCTGACAAAATGTTTTACAAAGCTAATTGGTAATTATAACCAGGTTTGGAAACTGAGATACAAGAAGGTAAAGAGACTTGAACAGAGTTACACAGCAAGCCATTGGCTCACTAAACAATTGCCATCCATGGCAGCATTAGTGACAGAACACTTGAATCCTGACACCTATCACTAGCCACTTGACTACACTAAGGCCTTGTCTACACTAAAAAGATTGCCGCTTCTCTTACCAATGTTTGCTAAACCAGCTAACATTCATAGAAGAAAATAAGTCAGAGAATCACAATCACTGATAAAGATTTATCTTTAAAAATATCAGATTGTTAATGTACACATTTTAAATAAACATTTAAGTTAATGTTACTTGGCTTTTGCAGAAGTACATAATCTTCCTAATAGGAGTCCATATTCTGAAGTTTAAGTAAACAGGTGAATCCAATTGTTTACAGGAAGTCCCCGGGTTACGTACAAGATAGGGACTGTAGGTTTGTTCTTAAGTTGAATCTGTATGTAAGTCGGAACTGGCGTCCAGATTCAGCCGCTGCTGAAACTGACCGCCAGTTCTGACTTACATACAGATTCAACTTAATAACCCCAAGTCAGCTGCTGCTGAAACTGATCAGACGCTGATTCCAGGAAGCCCGGGGCAGAGCAACTGTGCCTCGGGCTTCCTGTAGTCAGTGCTGGTCAGGTTCA